TAGTACATATTTTCAAGCTTTCTCCTCCACAGCTCCAGGAGATTACTTCAAGCCAACGCAAAACTAATTCTTACCCAGCCTGCTGAATTCTGGCTTGGGTGGCCTTAAGAAAACCACATGAAGTTTATATAAAAGCTTATATAAAGTCCCATTCTGTTCTTCGGCTCTGTGGAACGCAGAAGGTATGAACACCTTACCCATCACCCAAGTCCTCGGTTTACCTCTATCTTCAGCACAGATCCCCTAAATGATGTGGTGAGGCAGACTGTCACCTGGTCCATGAATTAGGAACAACCTTGTGCCAAGTGTTACTCTAGCTATCGCTGCACCCCGGCTTGTTTGTTTGCCTTGTTCATGAGGGGAGCCTGAAGCTACATCACAAGTGACATGATCATATCCTCCAGATTTTACCTATCTATGTTTTCTAAAATTTCCTGGTAAAGGCTCAGAGCTGTTCTTCTAAGGCCCCCAGGGACTTGGAGGTCAGCAGCTGGATAGTTCATTACATTCATACTGGCAATTCCTTGCTTGCATTATCTCAACCAGTTTCCATTCCAGCTGTTCCACTGTATGTGAATAGAAAAGGTGTCCCTGTCTGTCTATTGCAGTGATGAGCTGCATCCTAGAGGCTGTACAGAGATGGAGTCATACTTGGTTTACAGAGAAGGCTGAGTGTATGCTACATGCTATTAGGGCCACTTGAAACTAGGCTAATTACCTGGCAGACATTGCTGCAGAGCAGATTCTTTAATAAAAATAAATGGGGTGACAAGGGATAGGCTCCTTGCTATTTTGGGACAAACTGTCTCCTCAGGCAGCAGATAGCCACAGCGGTAAGGCTCCCAATCTATCATTTGGTTTGCTGTTTCTTGGCTGTAGAACTTAATTAACAATTCTGGAACCAGTCTGTTTCCCAGGAATAGCCTGAAAATCATTATATTAAACAATAAAGGCAGATGTGGGCAAAAGTAAAAATCCCACACAAGTCAGAAATGAAAAACAATGTTGCTTTTTCAATCCACAGGGGCCAGTGCAGGAATGTTCTAAAACCTGAAGCTTTTCTGTCTAGTGGTTCAAGCAAGAGGGAAGTGTTCCTGTGGATGTCACCATTTTGGGAACTGATGATTACTAATGACATAATTACTTTATTGTGTGAAATAGTACAAAGAAATACTGTGAAAACAGAGTTAAAACATACTTATAAATATTTTTTTGTCTTCAAGATCTGAAAGTACAACACAAACGTTTGTCATACCTGTGAATTAGTTTAAAAAAGACCATGAGCCTAGAAAAGAGGTGTTCTTAAGGATCCGAACTCAGTCGTCCAGAGTGCTGTGCCTCCTCCGCTTCCGCAGATTGGAACTGTGAAGGAGCACGAGGCATTGCGGTGTTTGGCCTTTTACAGGGGAAGCCAAGGATAAGGTAATACTCCTACCCTCTGCCTGTCGTATAAACAACCAGAACACCATTTCTGATAGTTCCCCTCCCATCACCATTTTGTCTCGCTAAAGTATGCCCGTTCTTAACTTTACATAGCACTTCCATTAATGTTAGTCTGCTCATAGCAAATAACACTAAGAATACCTATACATCTCTCTAGTATTAGTGTCTTATGAGGCCATTCAAATTCAATGAATCCATGTGCAGGAATAAGATGACCAGAATTTAATTCCATTACAGTATAACTATTTCAAATGAAGTAATTATTCTTTAAAAATGCAGATTTTTCTTCTTCAAAAATTATAACCAGGGGTTAAGAATAATGCCAAACGCCGTCTTGTGTAGATGGCAATCAACAGCAGAAGGAGAATTTCTAAATATCAGGAAGAATGTGCTCATCTAAACTATCACTCATGTTTTAAGATGGCCAGTGAAACCATTTTATTACTGCAGTTAGTTGGAAAGAGCACTATTCTGCAAAAATCAGATAATGTACTTATTTCTAAAAGCCTGGAACAAAAGAGCCAGTAGAGATTTGCTGAGTAGTTGCAAGATAGCCATTAAATATAAATATTTTTAAAAACAATTTACTCTTTCCTAATGCTTTTAGAGCAGCATGTGGGAACACAGTCTAAGTGCAGCATCTTACTGCATTAAAAAGGACAAGATGAAGGTTATTGGGCTCCAGATTTAACCCTTCTATCTCTTAACTGCTCGTAACAGTCCCTAACCTATATAAACTATGTGAGTTTATATAAAATTTACCCATCTTTCCTAGCAGTAACAATGAAAGTTTATATTTTTAAAACAACTATTCCTAATGGCCCACATTTTTCACATTCCTATAGAAAAACCCTATTTTTAAAGGTGAATTCATGTTTAAGTTTCCATTCCTCAAATTAGAAATAGCAGCAGAACTGTAAATTGCTTTCTTTTCATCCCGAGTGTGCATTATAGGTGGAAAAGAGAATTGCTTTGTGGGGCTGTATACGTATAAATGATATGAGTATTTAAATCAGTGGTTTGAACAAAATGTGTAGGCCAGTTAGAAAGAAGAGAGGCTGATTTTTGCTATGAACTATACAGGTCTTACTCCAGTATAAGGAATAACAGAATTTAATTCTGCTACTCAGGAAGCAAAGTGTCATTCAACCCCTTGATCCCAGCAGTGTACCTGGCAGAGTACAGCCCATCGCTACAACGCGGGAGGCAGACTGACTGAACCACAAGACCACTTCTCCTAACGGGGGGACAAGAAGAAGGCTGACACCGCCAACAACAGCCTTTGCAAGGCGGCCCTCACATTTAGGTCACTCTGAAGTAGACCTGCAGCAACTGCATCGCACAGCACTTGGCCTGGGCTTCCTCCACCTCCATACGGCGCCTTCATGGCCCAAAGACAAAAGTGCTGACTTGTAATTGCAGCAGTGTTTTTTGGTTCAAAGTGCCCAAAATAGCAGGCAGGCCTGCCAGCAGGGTGATTTTTAGCGTGGTGCTGAGAATGCTCAGGAGTGTTAGGCAAGGCCTGTGGCGATATTATCAGGGCACTGTGAAGGGCAGAGCGAGCCAAAGCTCATGTGGACTCATCCATACCACCTAGGAGTAATCGATCCCTGGAGAGAACTGACCAGGACTTTACTGGGTATCTGATTCACTCCAAAGGAGAACTGAGGAATGAACCAACACTCATACAGACAGGGAACCAAGGACACAGCAGCAAACATGCCTTAAAAACATCCTTCTTGATTTGTGATACTTCTGCATTTGGAGTTTTAGTAGTTGCAGGCAGGATTCATCTGATCTAACTCAAGACATCGAAGTTTGAGCGAAGCACTTTAGGCTACTTTTACCACCAACAAAGAAAAAAAGGCCCATGCATACAGTGATTCACCTGGCCTTTCTTAGATGCCTGTTTAAGGATGAGACGGATGAGCCTTCATGAACTGGCCATGTGGAATTTCAGAAAAAATGTCTTTGCTGAGAGGCCATCCCATGTTGATCAGCAGGGATTGATACCAAGGCTCCTATCTTTCAGTATTGTCATCAGTAATACACCCTCAGCAAAATTGCAGATGATGAGAAACTGGGGGAATGGATGACACACCAAACGGCCCAGCTTCAATCCAGAAGAACCATAACCTAAGGAGAAATGCAAGGTTCTGCACCCGGGTAAGAATAACCCCAAGCACCAGTACAGGCTCAAAGCTGACTGGCACAGCAGCAGTCCTGAAACTGGGCTTAAAGTGGATGCCCAGCTGAATACGAGCCAACAGCACACTCCCATCACAAGTAAGGCAAAAGCATCCCGAGCAACACTGGCTGAAAGCGGCTTGCAGATGGAGGGAATATTTTGTTCTCTGCTCAGCAGAGGTCGTGGTTAGGCCGTAGTTGGAATCCAGTCCAGTTTTCGCACAACCAGTACAAAAGGGATGTTGAGAAACCGGAATTGGCCCACTGGAGGGCTACCACATTGGTTATCTAGAAGACATGACCTACAAGGAGAGTGGAGGAAGCTGGCCTTGTTCTGTCTGGCACAGAGAAATCTAAGTGTGGTCTAATTGCAGCCTGTGACTGCTTGAGGAGAGTTACAAGGTAATGGAGCTGAAGTTTTCTTATAATGTCAGTAACAACAGGCAATGGCCAAAAAAAATGCTGCTTATTAAGAAAAACAAAGAAAAGAAAAATTAAGAAAAAATATTTCACCAGGAGGTTTGCACAGAACTGTAACAGATTACCCAGAGGAGCAGGAATGGCCAAAAAAAATGCTGCTTATTAAGAAAAAGAAAGAAAAGAAAAATTAAGAAAAAATGTTTCACCAGGAGGTTTGCAACTGTAACAGATTACCCAGAGGAGCAGCTGAATCCCTGTTGTTGGATGTTGTAAATGTAAATCCACAGCTGAACTGCTCCAGTTGTCGGTAAAAGCTCAGCTTTGAGCACAAGGATGGACTTTCCAACTAACACATCCAAGGTTCTGTGATAAACTGCAGACATACAGCCTGAAAATTACAGCTGGGCCAAAGCACTGCCAGGTGAGAATTTCTGCCGAAGCTCACAGGCAGTGGCTTTCACAGTGTGGCCTTTGTGAAACCAAACACCCCCAAGCCACGCTCGGCCTCACTCAAGTCAACAGCAAAATTCTCTAGAGCTGGGATAAGTCCTTGAACTGACAGTGGAAAAACAGGATTCTCCGAGGGAGCCAAACTAGTGATACACACAGTTCGTGAGCAGGTATGTTCATAAGGAGCAATGGACTACTGTTACAGGGTTTTGTCTGTAACTTATAAACAGTATTCTGGTATGTACTACCATCATCTCTGGAATGTGTCCAAGCCCTTTAATTCTCTATTAATAAGTGGAAATTATCATCCAGAACTATGGGGACAGGTACTGAACAGGGTTTTCTGAGTTCTCTCCCAGTCCCTGTGATTCCCTAAGTAACGTGGGACATATTGAACTGATTTCTGCGGCACAGAGTTCCTTCTAAAACCATAAATTAAATTCATTGCTGAAAAAACCCATTTGGTTTGATTTTTCATAACATTTATTATATACTCAGAATAGATTTATTGTGTCTTTGGTATATGTAAGAAGAGAAATTTAACTTGCAGTAAGAGCAAAAATGTAGTTCCCAAAGGCAACTGCGTGAAGAATCATAAAGCACAGCTAAGGTTAGCTTAGAAACAAGATTCATTTCTTCCCATCCTGAGAGTGTGACCAGACAGGCTTACGTTTCTGAATAAAGGCTTCAATACCTTCCTGCCCATCTCTCAGAGTCAAATTGTCTACCATGACCTGAGTAGTCATTTTGTAAGCAGTATCGAGGTCCTGTGTCATCTGTCTGTAGAAGGTGGCTTTCCCCAGTGCCAGGATGGATTTGCTGCTTTCGCATATCTTCTTAGAGATTTTCATGGTCTCTTCTTCCAGCTTGTCTTCTGGCACCACCTTGCTCACAAGCCCGTGCATTAATGCTTCTTGGGCAGAAAGAGGTTCACCTGTGAAAAGCATCTCTAATGCCACCTGAACAAGAAAAAATATTGTATTAAGTTAATTCAACTGCCTTATTGCTTTGATTTGTTTGGGGATTTTCAGCTTTCTCCTTCAAGTACCAGTTACTCTTTTGATAAAGGTGAGATTTAAATCTTTTGGCCTCTTTAACTGCCAAGGAAGTGTTAAGAGGTTTCAGCAAAGAGAAGGACTGGGTCTAAAGCTGGCCTTTTTTCAAATCTGCCCACTGACTGCAGCTGTCCTAGCCTGACACCTCTGGGTTTCTTTTCAAAAGCCCAGACTCGCTAGTGATTGCAGTAGGAATTAAGAGAGATGTGGATGGTCCACAATGTCAAATGACTGAACTCGGTATTTTAAGCTGGCATATAATGATAAATAAAGACTTACTATGTCAATGTGTAATTTTTAAAAGTCCCTGCCTTAGTTTAAGCTTGGTCAGGGTGTTTTAAAAAACGTCCTTCTTATAGCTGCATCCATTTAAGTCTCCTGCTGCTTCCAGCATCCTGTACTTGAGGTTTCAAATTAAAAAATCCCACAAATGTCAGTGACTATTCAATGTTATATATCAATAAGAACTTTTTCTCCATGACTCCTGATGCAATTGACCAATGCCCTGAATCATAAGAGCTGATTATGCTCATTAGTATCTTTGCTCTGGTAGCTACAAACAATGGCAACATTTCACCTGATAAAAAGTAAAATCAGTAATCCTGAGAACTGTAGGGAGTGTTCTTGCTACTTTGAAAAGTGGCATGGAGAAAAGTATATCCCACACATTTTAAAAAGGTAATCCTAGACCCCAGAAATACTAATTCAGAACCAGTTATAACTGTACATTATAGCACACTTGGAAAAAAAAAAAACGCATGGACAGACTATATTTGAACAGGATGGCCCTACAGATGGAAAATTTAAAGTCGGAGCTCTTATGCAGCAATTGGACTTGTGCAGTTAAGTCCTTGCACCTCAGCAGAGCCCTGCTGGGCTTGGAGAGTCTGTATGAATCCAGCTGGACCAGAACTTAGAATTTCTTTTCTCAGCTACGGAAGCTTTACAGATCGTACTATTGTTTATGCAGTGAGAGATGTGTAGTCACAATCAGTAGGAAATAAAGCAGGAAGAAAGTATAGGAGGGTTTTAGATGCTATTTAAAGCATCTTGATCTATACCCAGGCAGATCATGCTGGCAGTGAAATGTCACTGCCTGGCAAGAAGTGATACCTCGGTGGGACTGACATCCTGAACTTGCAGGGGTTTCCTCATCAGGGGACAACATCATTTGCTAAAGCACAGAGCTGTCTGTTGGAAAGGAAAGGGATTGCTGAGCTGGTGTGCTGCTGGTATGAGCTCATCCTGGTTGGAATCGCATCAGTAGGAAGCTGCTTTCCCTAAACAGAGTTCATCCCTTTATTATTTTTTCCAGTCCAAGTTATGAAGATGACTTGTGCAATTAAGTATTTTGAATGTTGTACTGCAAGAAAATAAAAGTTTAGGTAATGGAACTAAAACTGCTAACATGGGAACCTACTTCTTTAAAAATTACAAAGAGTATCTGGGAAGGAAGCCTACCTTTCTTGGAAGAGATCTGCCCAAGGCCACAGCTGGTGTGGAGCAAAACAGCCCGATGTTTACCCCAGGAGTAGCAAACTGCGATTTCTCACTCGCCACTGCAATGTCACAGCTTGCCACAAGCTGACAGCCTGCTGCTGTAGCCAAGCCATTTACTTTGGCAATCACTGGTACTGGAAGTTTCTGGATTAAAGTCATAACCTGCATGCACAAAAGAAAGTGGTCAGTTAGTCCCTGAAGTTTAAGCAGTGGCTGTTCTAAAACTTGCAATTGCTTCACACACCTGATGTGTGCATTTTTCAGCTTTGCTAATTGGAGTTTAGTAAAAAAGTAAGCTCTTTGCAAAACCTGTTTTAATGCAGAAGACCACTGCTGTTCCAGTAGCTGCTCAGCTGTGTTTATGTAGCATGAGTTGGTCCTGCTAACTCCAGTGGAAATGGAACACACAAGAACAAAAGGCAGAAACACTCGTTATCAGACCTGCATGGAGCCTGGGTGCCTCCGCACTGCAGGGCCAGCGTTCCTGGCTGTGGGAAGATGGGTATCTGAGACACATCAGCCCCAACATCATTTGCTCCATAATGGAAAACTGACTTTTAAATAAAAGTCTCTCTCCCAAGAAATTAAACCAGCCTATTGCTGGTTTCTGCATGATCTCAAGCCTGGGTTGATCTCACCCAAACACAATCACTGGATGTGTCTCTAGGCTTACTCTGCGTTCCAGGGAGAGACTTACCTGCCAGAAAACAATTATTCCTGCTTGCATTAGACATAAGATGTGAAACACACACTCTCTCTCTCTGATGATTCTTGAAGGTTGGACATCCAACTTCAGATAGCTGAAGTTAAGATGAATTTGTCTTAACTTTTCTAACTCAGGTTCTCCTTCCATACAGTGGGAATCAACAAACTCACCTAATTTTAATGCCTGAAGATATAAAATGCTAGTTAAATGATTACAGTCATTATCTGGATAAAAAGAAAAAATCTCATATTAGCACAGTGTAGCAAAATAACAATTTTTCATTTGCTACTTCAATTTCTCCAGTAGTTGAAGTCTAGCGAATTTTATGTTGTTTAGGTAAAATTACCTACATTCAGTTTTGACTTTGATCAGTCTTTGTCTCCGTCCTACCTTTGATTAAAAACAATTTTTCAGTGGATCTTGAGAAGCAGACAACGAAAGAGTAACAATACGTGCACATGTGCAGACAAACTACAGAGCGCTCTTGTGGTTATAGAAATTCAAAGTCAACTGCTTCTCTGAAAAAAAAAAAAAAAAAAAAAAAAAAAACCCAAACCTGGTACTTATAGTTTTGCATTGGAAAAGCCTCTGGAGAAGTGATATTCTCAGCTGTCTCAAAGCTGTACATGGCGAGTACTTAGTTCTCGGATACTGCATTATCTGGTATTGCTAACATTGGTATATGCATGGGGAAACAGAGGTGTAGCAGCTGAGATGATCTGCTTAAGATTACCAGCCCGCGACAGAGGTAGAAGCCAAGGTTCCTGAAAACCAGTCCAATGCTCTGGACCCCCTAGTCCACAATGCTGTAGGCATGTCATTTAGGGTAGGATCCGTTCTACTTAAGTACTGAAATTTAGAAAGACCTGATGTCATTTTGGAAGCCCTCGAAAGGACCTTTCTCTCTCTATTGACCAAAAAAAAGCAAAAGCTGATTATTCTACCAGGCAACTAAAATTTAGATATTAGTTAGGATCCTAAATAGAGCCTGAATTAATTTCTCTATTTCTGTTTGCCTGTAAAGTGCCATTATTATTTAACAGCAAGACCTTCTTCCTCCATGGGGATAAATAGTGAGTTGTGATTTATGAGAAACTTAAATCCCTTTAGGATACTCAGGTAGAGAGTTTAAAGCACTTATCACTACCATGAACATCAGAAAATGGATCACTTCAAGTGCCATTTCATCGCTTACATTTAATTTCTTCCTGAACTTGCTTTGCCAGTTTCACAGAAGCATTTAGCTTGGCAGTGACATCTTGAGATCATCAAGTCCAACCCCGCTACTCAAGTAGGCTTGGGTAGAGCAGGTTTTCCAGGACTGTGTCCAGCTATGTTTTGAGTATCTCCCTACCTCTGAATGTCATGGTCTCCAGAATATTCATCTGAAATCAGCACACCATTTTTTATTTGTAATAACGCTCCCTTACTAAACTTACTGGACACTAAGGCACCATTCTCACAAAGAAAGCTAGGCTTTTTGCTAACTCTAAATGCTGACATTCTGTTATTTTTTTGCTATTTCTCTTTATTAATCAAAGTTAAGCTTGCTATAGTACTCATTAGTCCTGAATATAGCCACAGTGCTAAGTATACATACAGGACAATTTAAATTCTTCTGGTCCTTAAAGTGAGAAATTTACCAGCTCTCGATTTTGCGCTATATGGAATAAGTGTCACATTTTTTTTCTGCCTAATCTTTCCTATTCTGTGACCAGGAAGCTGCATGGTTCAGTTTTCCACTGACAACAGACTGGTATTCTGCCCTGCAACTGCAAAATTAATATTAAACTATTGGCTGCTAAGCTACTGGGCCTTGGCTCCCTGCTGATGAAGGGACTAACCTGTCATTCAGTCGTATTTGTGCTTACCCCTTCGTGATCAGCATACCAAGATGAAATCCAGGCAAAGCTGCCAGGATGACTGCTCCTTATTACACTTGAAGGCCCCTCAGTGGTAACTTTCACACATGGCTTTTACAGCTTTTGTTAAATATGGGCTTGACAATCTGTACAGAGACCATTATTACCAGAGTAACTAGAACAACGGGTTTCAAATTACTTTCTATGGTCACACTGAGCAGGATTAGGGGTCAAATTCTAGTGCTGTTACAATCAAAGCAGGTTTTGCCATTCTCTCCAAAGGCTCCAGGATTCACTTTAACTTCCCGACCTCTGGGTCTGTGCCTTTGTCACAAGAACTTGTATGGTCTGCTGACTGGGCAGCCACCACGTCAGAGGTCTATTCAGGTCTTACTTTCACATTGCCTACTTGATGTTTAAGCTGGTCTTGACTTATTAACTAGATGCTGGGAAAGAACATTTGATCACCAGTGATTTGAAGATGGTCATCCCTAGGTTTCTAGGAAAGACACTGCCCAAATACTCAGCTGCAAGGAACACGGGCTAAACTAAGGAACATGCCATGACTGTACCCATTGTAGACGACATGCACATTGGCATTCTAGCCCTCTTATTTGCATGTAGACAAATTCAGGGAAAACGTAATTTTACCAGTCTCAGGTATTAAAATGGCAGAACAGCAAAAAATAAAGGAATCTGGAGCAGCAGTCTGTGCTTTAGCTAGCAGATGAGTAATGCTGTCCCTCCTTAAACCAGCATCATTGCTTGCTTTTAAAACCAGCCAAAGGGGGTGGCACTTAAGAAGAACTGCTTACCTCTGCACATACTTCAAATACTTGGGAATGATGCTTCACGTCATCTTCACTTGACAGTTCCTTTAAATCATGTCCGGAACAAAATACAGGTCCTTCAGCTGCAAAGAATTTCAGGAAAAGTCTGTCTGAATTAATCAAGACACCAGGGGTAGCGACATGTCAACGCCCCAGTTGAAGGTATGCCAGTGAGATGTCAATGGTCAAAAATGAGCTTGGGGAGGGAGTTTTACACAGAGTTCCAAAATACTGCCTTCTGGGTTTTGTAACAACTTCACATTGCCACAATGCATCATTGAACCACGGTAACGCCCATAAACATTTTAAAGGCCTAGTTTTACTTCCATTCCAAGTCAACTCAGCTAAAAATGAGGCACTTCACACCTCTGAGCCCAGTTTCTTGTAAGGACGCTGTGCTAACCAGCTCCTTGGTACAATGTAAACTAGTCAGCTGGAGCAAGGATGGAGTGCTCTGCTCTCAGACTAACAGATACGGTTACTCCCTCCTGACTGAACCCAGCATTAATGATTAACTTTTACTAAATAAGCATCAAGATTTTTGTGTCATGGCGTTCAATGCCACAGTGGGAAAAAAAAAAAAAAAAAGAAAAAGGGTTGTTCTGCTGGAGGAGAACCAGAAGGGGTTTGGGGGCATCTTTTCCTCCACTGCTAAAACTGTCACCTAGAGAATCCCCAAAAGCACATCCAGGGTCTGGGCAGCAAAGGAGCAGGCTTCTGTAGACCTAAATTTCGGATTTGCTCGCCTCCAGTGGCAGCTAAGATCAGAACACCCTTCACGGGTACGCTATCTTTACATCAGTATTGCTTTGTCATGAGGATATCTGCCATAAGAATAAACCAATTCCATGCTTCTGAATCCTTCAGAACTTCCCAGATATTTGTAGGGAAGTGACATTCCCAGCTACAACTATGCAGACACAACCTTACCTATGCATTTGTTTCTTATGGACCAGATTATTATTGTGGCACAGTCTATCCAGAAATAACCACACAATTAACATCAGGCAGCTCACGAGATCAGCAATACATATCTGGAAATTAATCACATCTGCATTTGTGCCTCACTGAAGACAAATCCACTGCAAAGTCTGCGTTAAAGACTCGAAGCACTCCCTAAGAAGTCTTTTCTTTTCTTGAGATCTCTTCTTTTGCATTCCTTTCAGCTAGGGAATTCAACAGGAACACGCAAGACTGTTTTAAACTAAAACAAAAAACCAAATTAAATCGTGCTCGCCAACTCCCAGGCTACTGTGTTCCCAAGGAAGAACCTGAAGTGTTTCACATAATTTTTAACTGCTGTTTGAAACGTTGAATATATATATTTAAACCCACCCCTGTGAAGTTAACTTACTTCCACGCTCGTGTGTGTGTTCCTCTACGTACAGGGAACAGCAGCATCCTAAATTAATAAACCGATTTCTCCAAGATGTTTGGAAAGGGGGCAGAGGAAGATTATCTTAAAATAGCAGGGGGAAAAAAGGATGGCTTAAGAACAAGTCAAGTTTCGTTATCTTTCAGAAATCTACAGGTTAATACCTACATGGAAGAAAACTGTAACCGGCTCTGAGAGGTAACGTTTTACATCTGCAGGTTTCGGGTGACTGCTGTGTCGATATTATGGTTTCTCCCTCATCAGAGTCTTAAAAACAGTTTTGACCAACCAGTGGCAAAGATAACGAGGCTGATCCTGGCTTAGAGCAGGGAGACAGAGCACATGGTTTGCAGAAACCTCGTGAGCCCTGTTTCCTACCATCTCTACCTGACACCGAAGGCAACGAGCGTCACAGCAGCTCGGCCTGTTCCTGCACGGAAACCTGCGTCTGGGAAAGTTACTGCTTCAGTTTGATAACCATTAGAAGCCGGGTTTTGTTCTGTTTAAAAGTATTCTTTACATACAGTTTTCAAACCAATTATTTCATCTACTGATTGTTTTTACAAAAGGAAAAAGCTTATCGACTCCGTAAACACCCTGCATAATCTGGCTGAAATACTGACGTTCTGAAACGTGTTTCCGCACGGTTTCTTCTTGGACATCTTAAGTGTCAACAAAAAAAAAAAAACAAAACCTGAGTCAGTTGTTAATGCTGTGTTCAGGAATGAGGGGCGAAGTACGTGAGAGTGGAAATTGGGATAAGTATGATGGAACGGCATGAGGGAAGGGTCCGGAGGGTGATGGCACGGGCAGGGTGCCCTGGCCAGCTGCACGGAAAACACCACGCAACTCCATTCCCGCACCATTTTCACAGAATCACAAGGGTTGGAAGGGGCCTCGGGAGATCACCCAGTCCCACCCCCCTGCTAAAGCAGGGTCACCCAGAGCAGGGTGCACAGGACAGCGTCCAGGCGGGCTTTGAATATCTCCAGAGAAGGAGACACCACAGCCCCCCGGGGCAGCCTGTTCCAGTGCTCTGTCACCCTCAAAGTTTGGACCCCGTTCTCCCCCTTTTTTTCCCCCCCCCCCCCCCCCGTGACCCTTGAACGCCGGGAGTACCTGAAATGATAATAACGCGGAGGTCTTGGCTTTTGACGTCATGCAGCAGGTCCTCCCGGAGGGACCGCAGCATGGAGAGGGACAGGGCGTTTCTCTTCCTCGGGTTGCTCAGGACGATGTTTCTGTGAAAGCCGTTAAAGGCGACCGGGGTTACCACTAAAGCAGGCAGCGAGCGCCTCGGGGCCGGGCCCGCAGCGGTGCC